CGTTTAAAAAAATGGCACCTAAAGCAAGAGCCAGAGAGAGGAGAGACGCAGAGCTTTTAAGTTAATTCGCTTAGCAAACTTGAAGCGTGTATATCTCAGAAACTGAAATAGCTAGATTAAAATCGCTTATTGCAAAAATGTAAATCATAATATTTCCTATATTTTTTTAATTTATACTTTTGAAGTAGCTTTTCTAGATTTGGAGATATCCCGCTTCAAAGCTAGGTCATCCTAAAATATGGCTCTCCTAACTTTAAGCGCATATATCTCAAAAACTAAAATAACTACACAAAAAATGTCAACTACAAAATTAAAAACCATAAAATTTTACGTATTCCTTTAGTTAAATTTTTTTGTTTAGCTTCTTTAGTTTTAGAGATACAAGCGTTTAAAAAATGGCACCTAAAGCAATAGCTAGAGAGAGGAGAGACGCAGAGCAAAAGAAGCGCGTTCTCTGACACTCTCCTGTTTTCCAATGCTCTCTAATTTCGAAGCGATAAAATGTGCTCTCCTCTCACACAACTGAAGAAAAGAGTCAACTCTTTTTCTTAACTGCTTTTCCATTTCTTCATTTTTCTTTCTTTTCCCCCTCTTTTTTCTTTTTTCTCTCTTTTAGCAACTACTCGGTTTTTTTTCTTTTTCTTTTTTTTTCGTTGGTTTTTCTCTTCTTCTTCTTCTTCTTCTTCTTCTTCTTCTTCTTCTTCTTCTTCTTCTTCTTCTTCTTCTTCTTTTTTTTCACACTTTGATAATTATAGATATATCTTTCCGGTCTGATGAATAGGGTCAACATTTTGTTCAAAAATCAGAAATTTGTGGTTCAGTGAACTGGAAAAAAAGATCAAGATTTGATTTTTAAAAAATTGGGAAAACAATTTTTATTGAAAAATGAATTTTTGAAAAATCTGGAATTTCAATTTTCAGAAGCGCTGATTTTTAGGTTTTCCTGAAATTTCAGTTTTTTGGAATTTTAGATTTTTCGGACTCCCTTTTTAATGGCTTAAAAATGCGGTAATTCGAATTATCTCAAATTATCTCAAAACTAGAGAAAAAGAAGATTTCAAGCTATAAACTTTTGATTTTCAGACTTTTCCTTTTTCCTCCGGATGTGCTATTTATTTTTGAAAACGGAACTAAAATTGTGAAATTGAGTGCATTATAATAATAATTTAGAAAGCATAAAAACAGGGAAAAAAACTATGAGTCACTTCTTTTTTGTTTTGATTATTTTTGAGTGGAGAAATGGGTGATAAGGATTTTTTCAGAATTCAGAAATTTAGAAATTCAGATATTTAGAAATTCAGAAATTCAGAAACTCAGAAATTCAGAAATTCAGATATTCAGAAATTCAGAAATTCAGAAATTCAGAAATTCAGAAATTCAGAAATTCAGAAATTCAGATATTCAGAAATTCAGAAATTCAGAAACTCAGAAATTCAGAAATTCAGAAATTCAGAAATTCAGAAATTCAGAAATTCAGAAATTCAGAAATTCAGAAATTCAGAAATTCAGAAATTCAGAAATTCAGAAATTCAGAAATTCAGAAATTCAGAAATTCAGAAATTCAGAAATTCAGAAATTCAGAAACTCAGAAATTCAGAAATTCAGATATTCAGAAATTCAGAAATTCAGAAATTCAGAAATTCAGAAATTCAGAAATTCAGAAATTCAGAAATTTAGCAATTTAGAAATTTAGAAATTCAGAAATTCATAAATTCAGAAATTCAAAAATTCAGAAATTCAGAAATTCAGAAACTCAGAAATTCAGAAATTCAGAAATTCAGAAATTTAGAAATTCAGAAATTCATAAATTCAGAAATTCAAAAATTCAGAAATTCAGAAATTCAGAAATTTAGAAATTCAGAAATTCATAAATTCAGAAATTCAAAAATTCAGAAATTCAGAAATTCAGGAATTCAGAAAATCAGAAATTCGGAAATTCAGAAATTCAGAAAATCAAAAATTCGGAAATTCCTGTTGAAGCTGAATTTCAAGATATTAAAAAAAAAGCGAAATCTGAAAATTGAAATTTATCATTCTGAAAACTCAAAAGTTTCAAGAAATTACATATTTCCAGAAGTTTCAAATATTTTAAGTTTCTGAAATTTCCCAAATTACTTGAATTTTTGAATTTTCAGCCTAAAAATGATTTTTGTGGTCTGAAACATACTGAAAATTCCATAGAATACGAAAAACCAGTCATGCAGCGAAAAAAAAAGACAAAAGAAATCGGAAAATTCAAATCTTTGCAAATTTTTACTATTGAGCTGAAATTTTGAAAATTCTGAAAATCAACAAAAAAAAAAGATCTGGATTTTTTAAATTCCAGCCTTTTTGGAAACTTTTGAACATTCAAAAAATTCATAATTTCCAATATCCAAGATTTTCTGGTTTCTCAAAAATCCTAGAAGTTCTTAAAATCTAGAACTCTGAAACTCTAGAAATTCTAAAACTCTAGTACTCTGAAACTTCCAAAAAATCAAAAAATTCTGAAGATCTCAAAAATCCATTTTCTACTTTTTTCCATCCAATTTTAGTCTCTTCTTCTTTTTTTTCTATTTTCTCCCAAATTTCCTTTTTTCCAGTGGCACAAAAAAGGCCTTCTATAGTCTTCCGCTTCTTTTTTTTTCTTTGAATTTTAGATTTCTCCTTTTCTTGCCAAAAAACGACTCAAAAAACTTTTTTGCTCCGCGTTTTTCGGATCCAACGATTCTTTCAATTATGGATTCATTGCTGAGCAATGACTGACTCATTTCTGTATTTTTTAAAAATCCGGATTTAGGATTTTTAAAAATAAAACTTTTTATTTTGAAATAGTTCTTAAAATTCTGAAAATCCTGATTCTTCTGACTTCTCCAAAAACTATTATGAAATTTGATGACCTAGATATGTATATGCGTAATAACTACTATATCTCAGACTTTTAATTATTTTCCTCTTTTCTCATTTTTCTGAATCCTTACTACGTCAAAGTGCACAAAGTGACATCATTCATGTCTCCTCATTTCTTTCCTCGTGAATTTCTTATCAATAAAATATTGATGAAAAAACGGAGAAGCACTTGAAGCCTCTTTTATAGGTCTTCGTAGGGACAAGAGGCGCAGAGAAACGAGAGCGTCTCGTTTCTCTGCATCTCTAACCCCATGGAGGTGTGTACTAGCTTTGAGCGGGTGTATCTCAAAAGCTAAAAACGCTAGAAAAAAGTTGTCAATTGCAAAAATGTAGAACATAAAATTTTACAAATTCCATTAGTTGACAACGTTTTGATACCTTTTTTAGTTTTTGAGATATACGCGCTCAAAGTTTTGATCCCTAAAAACCTTGTGATCCTTAGAATAAAAAGTGGGGGAAAAAACAAATTTACAACTTTTTCAATATTCAAATTTATGCAAATTATATGATACATCGGTAGATAGAAAGAGTTTACTGGAACTGGAAAAATTTGCATTTTTAGAGTTTACTCTCTTTTTTTTTGAGATTTGAATATTCTGGAGAAATCAGATTTTTAAAAAAATATTATTAAATACTATAATTTTCTAAATAATCTATAATTAACTAACCCATAATTATAGTGTCCCTTCAATTAAATTTTTTTAAATTTTAATTTCAGCAAAAAGGAAAAAAGAGCTACTGAAAAAAATGCAATTTTCTGGTCTAGAGCTCTTTTTTCATCTTCCTATTCTCTATTTTTTTTGCTCCCTTTCTGCTCTTATCACATGCTCTTTTTTGTATGTTTTCTCTAATTCTCTCGCGTCTCTCATCTCTCTTTTTTTCGCCATTTACCCTTATTTTTTATCGCCTTTTTTTCTTTTTTCTTCAATTTATTTTGACTTGGCCTATTTTTTATTTTTATTTTTTTGAAAATTTAAATTATGCTGAAAATTCGGGATTTCCTAAAAAGCGGGATTCCCAGAATGTTCTGAAAATGAGTCATCTAATTTTTTATGCGATTTTCAAAATTAAAGAAAAATTAGATCTGTTAAAATTATATATTTTTTTAAAGATGATTTTTATTCAGAAATTCAGAAATTCTGAAATTCAGAAAATCAGAAATTCCTTGTGAAAGCTGAATTTAAAAAAATCCAAATCAGAAAATTGAAATTTATCATTCTGAAAACTCAAAAGTTTCAAGAAATTACATATTTCCAGAAGTTTCAAATATTTTAAGTTTCTGAAATTTTCCCAAATTACTTGAATTTTTGAATTTTCAGCCTAAAAATGATTTTTGTGGTCTGAAACATACTGAAAATTCTATAGAATACGAAAAACCAGTCATGCAGCGAAAAAAAAAGACAAAAGAAATCGGAAAATTCAAATCTATTAGAAATTCAGAAATTCTGAAATTCTGAAATTCAGAAATTCATAAATTCATAAATTCATAAATTCATAAATTCAGAAATTCAGAAATTCAGAAATTCAGAAATTCAGAAATTCAGAAATTCAGAAATTCTGAAATTCAGAAATTCAGAAATTCTGAAATTCAGAAATTCAGAAATTCAGAAATTCATAAATTCATAAATTCAGAAATTCAGAAATTCAGAAATTCAGAAATTCAGAAATTCAGAAATTCAGAAATTCAGAATCTCAGAAATTCAGAAATTTCAATGTTTTAAATGAAAAAATTTAGGCTTTCTCAGATTTGAAAATTTCGAAAAATTTAAATTCTGGAAATTCTAAAAATCTGGAATTTCAAAAATTCAAAACCTCAGAAACCCAAAAAAAAATCAAAAACTCAAAAAATCGAATTTTTAAAAATTTTTTCCACCTGCTCCAAACATTTCCAAAATCTGTGTTTTGTTTCAAATTTCTGAAAATTCTTAAATTTGGATTCTTAAAATATTAATAAAAAAAAATAAAAATTCCAATATCGTCACAAACTCCAAAATATCCTCATCTAAAACCATAAATCCCAGATTTTCCATTCCCTCCTTAAATCCCCAAAAATCTTTTTGACACTTTTCATCCAGGGAAAATTAAATTTTTCCATTTCTGGGATACCCAACATGTGGGTATGTGTATCTAATCTCTGAAAGTGCTCTCCTTCTTTTTTCTCTAAATCTCTCAATCTCTCTGTCTATCCCAAAATTTTCCTCCCGAAAAACCTTCACGGAACAACTTCTTTCATGTGTGTGTGTATGTGTGTTGTTAGTTCTCCAATTTCATTTTCTGATCTTTTTCTCTCCTTTTTTCTATTTTTCTAGCTTCCGCTTCACTTTTTCCTATGTTTAATTTGAAGGATTTAGACGCAGAGAAACGAGAATGCCGCGTTTCTCTGGATCTCTCTTCTTTAAAGGGTCATATCTCAAAAACTAAAAGAACTATAACATTTTTCTAAATTGCAAAAATAATTATCATAAAATTTTACACATTTTTTTAGTTTACAACTTTTTGATAACTCTTATAAGAGCCGAGATAAATGAGCTCAAAGTGCACGCTGCTAATAAGCTACACGGTCGGCACCTACGCCTGCGCTAGTCAGGTACTTTCACTTTGAGTTGATTTATCTCAATTGTTGTGATAGTTATCAAAAAATTGTCAATTGCAAAAATTTTATTTATAAAATTTTACATATTTTTTTAGTTTACACCTTTTCAGTAGCTCTTTTAGTTCTTGAGATATGTGCGCTCAAAGTTGAAGAGCTCTAAGCGCGCAGAGGGGGGAGACGCAGAGAAACGAGAATGCCTAGCTTCTCTGCGTCTCTGCTAGATGTCTAGGTATTTTTGCTTCTCTTTTTCTCTCTCTCTCTCTCACTTCCTCCAAAATTTAAAATCCTCTATGAACCAATTTCAGAACCACAAAACCAACACCACCCTGAACCAAAAAACACAAAAAAAGAGAGGACATCAGGACATCCCAGACACACAGACAGACAGTTAGCTCCGCCGTGAGCGATGCGAATGTCGAATTCGAATACACCGCGAAAGTTCAGTGAGAAGATTGCCATACTCGAGAGGAAACAAAAAGATGAGAACACCACGTTTGAGGATATTATGCGAGAGGTACGGTAGGCTATGTTTAAAGGCGCATATCTCAAAAAGTAGAAGAGCTAGAAGAGATCATGTTTACCAAAAATGTTACAAATTTTATGAGCTACATTTTTGTAGTTTACAAAATTTTGATAGCTACGCTAGTTTTTGAGATATAGACCTTCAAAGTTGGATGCGCGCCACAGAAGGTGCCAAACGGGCGCCTAACTTTGCGCGCTTGTATCTCAAAAACTAAAAAAGCTAGACAATTTTTGTCAACTAAATAAATTTAAAAAATATTATGAGCTACATTTTCGTAGTTTACACTTTTTGGCTAGCTATGGTAACTTTTGAGATATACGCGCTAAAAGAAAATTGACGCCGCCCTAGCCAAGAGGAGAATCAGAGAAGCGAGGCTGTCTAGCTTCTCTGCGTTTCTCTCCACCTCTCAACACAAACTAGCTAATTATGAATTCATAATAATGCGATTTTCCAGGTCAAATCCATCACCCACCATCCGACGGACTCATCATCTCCCACCGGCACCGCCCCAATCGCCATCCCCCAGCAGGTAACTTTTAGGCTCCGCCCATTTTAAGCCACGCCCCTTGTTTTTCAGGCCGGAGTTGGACTGTTACCCCCACAACATCCATGGGGTCATAATCTCGGTGGATCACTCCCAAATGTGCATCAACTATCCAACTATTCGCCACCACAATGGGCACAACCACACTGGCAGCAAGAGGCGATTGGAAGACCCATGGTTTGTTGGCATTGGGTGCTTTTGGCGCGTTTGCAGTTTAGAATAATTTTATATGGGTAGAAAGCTGAGATTGTAATTTTTTAGAATCTATAATTTATTTTTGAATTGACCAATGTCGAACAAAGTTACAATGTTTGGAAATTGTTACTCCCAAAATTTAAAGCTTGTCATTTTAAAGCTATATATCTTCATTTCTAGAATAACTATCAAAAACTAATGAACTAACAAAATGAACCAAACTTTGAGACAAATAACATTTTTTTAAAAATTTCCAGCAAGGTCATCGAAGTAGGTCACCAGAAGATCACATGATAGGAAGCGCGTCCGGCTCACCGTCCCACCATCACTATCATCCATATGGAGCAAGATCGAATGGTCATTCGAGGAGTCCGGATCGAACGCCCCCACATCATCCGCATTATGCACCGTATGGTGGTCCGACGTACAACCAACCAGGACAATTGGTACCGCCGGAATCTTGGAATCAGTGAGTTTTTTTCGGGTTTTGGAGATAAAAATGAACAATTTTAAAGTTTCGAAAGCGTCTATCTTGAAAACCAAAAATGGTAGATTGAAATCGTCAACTAAAAAAATGTGTCAAATTTTATTTATAACATTTTTGTAATTGACAAAATTTTGATAACTCAGTTAGTTTTTGAGTTACATGCGTTTGAAAGCCTGCGACCGCCTAGCTCGGGGGATAGAAAGTGTGCCTCCACTTTGAGCTCAATTATCTCGACTCCTGTAAGAGATATTTGAAATGTGTCCGCATGTAAAATGTTTGTCATAATATCACCAACATTTTATTAGTTTGCAACATTTTGATATCTTTTATATGAGTTGAGATAATTGGGCAGAAAGTGCGCACTTCTACCGATTACAAAGTGGGCGCCGCTGTCTTCGCAAACTGCACTTTGAGCTTAATTATCTCATTCTGTGTAACAGATATCAAAAAGTAGTCAACTGAAAAAATGTTTATCATACTATCAGCAATATTTTATCAGTTAACAATTTTTTGAGATCTCTTATAGGAGACGTGATAATTGAGCTAGCACCCAGTGATGATAGCACCCAGTGATGTAACCGCTCGTAGCGTGACGATCTTTAAGCTTAAATTACTTTCCTTTCAGGATCAACCGCGCTCGATCGGATCCAGCAATCCACAACATGGGCGGAATGCATCCGATGCACCAAATGATGCATCACCCTGCACATCAAATTCCAATTCATCAAATGCCACAATACTCGATGCCCGGACCATCGGGAATGATTCAGAATCCACAACAACCCCAATCGAATCAACACTCTCCGCAGATGACACCACAGGGATCACAACAAGGATCCCCGGTTCAAATGCACCATCAAATCCCGCCCCCTCTCCAAATGGGCGGAGCCAATCAGATTCAGGGCAATGGAATGTCACCGTTACAGTCGCCGAATCATATGATGACGCCTATGTATGGGTGAGTATTCTGGAGTTTCGAATTATAAAAATATTCCAAAATTTAAAAAAAAATCGAATTTTTTCAATAAAAACCAAAAATTCGAAAAAAATTTCTCAACTTTGAGCTCATGTATCTCATTTTTTGTTAAAGATATCAAAAAGTCATAAACTGATAAAATTTTTATCAGCTTGTCAATAATATTTCGTTAGTTAACAGATTTCTGATACCTCTTATAGGAACCGAGATGATTGAGCTCAAAGTAAGCGCTGCAAGTTAGCTACGAGAAATTTTGTGTTTGCGGCAATTTTTGTCTATGACTTCGCCCACAAACAAGCAACTGTTGTCAAACAACTATCATATTGTAACTTTTAAATTTTCTATCAAATACATTGTAAAATATCAAAAATCTTAAGTTTGAACCTTTTAAAAATCATTTCCAGATATCACAACGGATCTCCTCTCCACTCACCAATGGACTCTCCTCATGCTTCAACTCTAATGCTTGATGGCTCAGGGACACCTCACATGGAATTAAGTCCGCCTGGAATGATGCACGATTTCGATGCAGGAAGTCTACCGAATCTTCAAATGCAACAGCAACAACAGCAAGAATACACAAATGGCATCAACAACACTACGCCTTCAGGCTCTTCCAGTGGTTACTATCACGCCCCCATTGGAGCCAGACACAGTACTGGCGCGTGTGGTCCACGACTGGTACCTGGGCCCGCGTTGACGCCAGAATCACAATCAGCACCAACGTCTCCGCATAATCAGCTGGATCCGAATCAGCCGTTGATGTGGCCGACGCGAACGTTTTCGAATTCACCGGAAGCCCTAGATATTCCAAAGTTGACGATTACGAATGCAGAAGGAGCACCCGGGCATCACGTGGACTCGTATAATGATTTTAATGTGAGTAATTGGCAAAAATTTTGATAGCTTATAAATAGTTAGCTGGTTTTTGAGATACAGTCATTTAAAGTTTAGTGCGCTTCAAGCTTCAAACGTGTATATCTCAAAAACCAGAAAAACTACACAAAAATTGTTAACTACAAAAATAGTTCTTATAAAAGTTCATACATTTTTTTAATTGACAGCTTTTTTTAGCGTTTTTAATTTTCGAGATAAAAACCTTTAAAGTCTAATGCGCTTCAAAGCATGCGCGCTTTAGATGTCTCAAGCTTTGAATGCTTATACCTCTGAAACTAAAAATGCTAGAAAAAAACTGTCAATTAGTAAAATATGTGAACTTTTATGCTTTTCATTTTTGCAGTTAACAATTGTTGTCTAGCGGGAATAGTTTTTGAGATATATGCGCTTAAAGCTTAGTTCACCGGAGGGCGCCTGCCGTGTGCTTTAACACTTGCGCCTCCGGGTGTCGCCCAACTTAAATCGTGTATATCTCGACAACTAGGAGATTTATATACATTTTGTCAACTACAAAAATATTTTTCAGAAAATTTCACACATTTCACTAGGTGACAATTTTTGTCTAGCTTGCTTGCTTTTTGAGATATGTGCGCTCAAAGTCTAATGCGCTTCAAGGCAGGCGCGCCTTAGAAGCCTCAAGCTTTGAACGCGTATATCTCAATAACCAAAAAACTTACAGAAAATTTGTCAACTAAAAAAGTGTGTAGAATTTCATTTTTTTACATTTTTGCAGTTGAGAACTTTTTTCTACCATTTTTAGTATTCAAGTTATCCCTCATTTTTTCAGGACCTCGGCCTAGAATCTCTGGACAACGTGTTATGTAATGGCTCTGGAGCTCCGCCCATTCAGCCCAACAACTCATTCCACGACCCCGGCGGCACCATGCTTCAGAATTAGAAACGTTCCATGTTTTTTAAATTTAATGCAAATTCGCTCTATCGCAATTGCGATGGAGCGTATTTGCCCAAATCTTTTTTTGTGCCAAATTTAATTGTCGAGCGGAGCGAAGCGAAATATTGATTTTTGGTGGTGGCCGAGAAAAATCGAAAATTCCGGAAAATTAGGCCAGCAAAAAAGTTTTGGCGCCAAATTTGAATTTTTTTTTTGAAAAATAAAGAAACAAAATTTTTTTTCTGAATTCGTCCTACGGCTTCCAGACAAATCTGCGTAAATTCAGAAAATTTTATTTTCATTTTTTCAAAAAAATTTAAATTTCCCGCCGAAATTTTTTCACCGTTTTCTAAGCCACCAAAAACCATATGTTCCGCAAGCTCCGCCCACTTTTCTCCTCCCCCTCAGATTCATCAATTCTCATTCAAAAATAATTCCAAATTTCAACCAAAACATTGTGATATTCAAAAAAATATTCAAAAATTATTTCCTTTTTCTCTTTTTCTCTATGTCTCTCTCCTTGAAAAACTCCCACCTCATCATGCATTTCAAACATCCTTCTCTTTTTTTTTGTAAAAATTCTTATTTTCTCTCATTTATATTTCAGAAAATTCCAGAAAAAACAAAAACCTTCTCTTTTAAAAAATATGCTCATTTTTTTCCCGTCTCTCAATGAATAATTTTCAATTTTCAGACTTTTTTTTTGAAAATTAAAAATCGGAGAACAAGTTTTTATGTGGGTTATGCTGCAAACAACCGTCAGATGATAACCGTTAGGTAACACAAAAAAGGGGCGGGGCTTAATTTGAACAAAAAGGGCGGGGCTTAATGACCCAACAAAAAAGGGGCGGGGCTTCATTTGACAGGTTCTGTAGAATTTTTTTTGGGAAATTCTGAAATTTTCTAGATTTTCAAAAATTCCAAAACCTGAAATTCAAGATTTTTGAAAATTTCAGATTTTCTAAAATTTTCAAAATTTCAGATTTTTCAGATTTTCTCGAATTTGAAAGTTCCAAAATCTTAGGAATCTCAAAATTTCGAGCATTTTTCGAGCATACGCAAAAATCGATTCTTCCAAAATTTTCCAAAAAAAAAAGAGGGCGTGGCTTATCAATCAATAGACAATGATTATTAGACAGTTGGTGGTGATAATTATAAAACAAATCGAACAAGTAATTAGTAGCAATTATCATAGGCAATTAATTCAGAACTAATTATATGCAATCAAGTAAAATAAAATAAAAAAGGGCAGGGCTAAAATAGGGGCGTGGCTTTTCGGGAAAAATCAATATTTGAGATTAACGAAAAAATTAGTCGGGAAAATGGACCCCAAAAAGTGGGCGTGGCCGGGAAAATAGCGAGATCGGGAGAGCAATTTTTGACGGGGAAAAATGAAGTCGATGAGAAAAAAAGGGGCGGGGCTTCAGATTATTTGACTAGACGGAGGAAAGGGGCGTGGTTTAGAGGTTCGGAGGAAAAATCAGTTTTTGAGACAAATTCAAAGGAAGAATTAGTCGGGAAGATGGGTCCAAAAATGAGGGGGGCGTGGCCTAGGAAATCATTTATTTCCAGAATTCGAGTAAAGAGGGGCGGGGCTAAGAGAAGACATTTCGGAAGAAAAAAAAATACATTTTTTTAGATCAATTAATGGGCAATTTCGGGTGAAAAGTATAATTTTTGAGATTCAAAAAGGGGGCGTGGCCTCGCTAGTATCGTCGATATGCTCCTCCTCCACCATTGTGATCTCTGTGATCCCTCTGCCTCTCATGGTAGTGTGGATCGAAGTTCCGCCCCAAGTAGTTGCCCTGCCCTCTGGCTCCGCCTCTTCCATGAACATGATTCCAACCTCCACCGTTATCATCGTCACGACTTCTCGATCTTCTGTAGTGTCCTCCCTGCCAAGCTCCCTGGTCTCGTTCCTGCCATCGCCTGGACTCTTGTCTCTTCCGGTGGGGTCGATCAGAAGATGGACCTTCTCCTCCTCGTACCTCCGGAGACTGGCGTCGAACTTCTCTCTCCGTAGATTGACGTCGTCGAGACGTCTGGTGAGCCTGCTCTGCTTGCTGCTGGACCCTTTGCAGGGCAGCTTCTCGGAAGCTCTGGGCCGGATGGCGCTCCGGTGGCGGCTGGTAGTGATTTATGTCTTGCAGGCCGAGGATCTGACGACGAGACTGGACGGCTTCTGAAGCTCTCGAAAGATTCTGAAGAACTCCTGGTTGTGGTGCCGGCGACGTCGGAAGATTCAGGAATCCTCCTGCTGATGGTAGCGGAGCTGTAGACGTCGATGGCAGATTCTGAAGACCTCTCTCATTGAGACGACGTCCATATTCCTCTAAATCTGCTCGTCGAGCTTCTGCGAGATGGGCAGGGACCGGAGCAACGTCTTCTGGAGAGGCGAGGGGATTGGGAATGTCCTGACGTCCAGTTGACACCAAAGCCATTTTTGCGAGGTCGACGTAGAGGCCACTGAATGACGATGATGTGGCTGCTGGAAAGACAATTTCAGCCATTTCAAGCTAGATTTTGGGCCTTTTTGGACCATTTTTTGGAAAATTTTTAACTGTTTTAAACTCATTTCTGATTGTTATAGACTAATTTTGGGCCATTTCAGACTAGTTTCTGGCCAATTAAAGTTAATTTCGGATCATTTAGACTGATTTTGGACTATTCCAAACTAATTTTTGACAATTTTAGACAGAATTTCGGTCATTTTAGGCTGATTTTGGACAATTTTGGACCTTTTTACCCTGATCTTAGGCCATTTCAGAGAGATTTTTAGTGATTTTAAATCAGTTCTGGACCATTTCAGCATGATTTCAGATCGTGTTGGAAAAGTTTTGGGGTATTTTGACAGATTTTGAATGATGTTAGGTCCGTTTTGGTTCGTTTTAGACTAATTTTTTGGACAATTTAGGACCATTTTAAATCGATTTTTCGATGATTTTCTTATTTTCTAAAATTTTCCCAAAAAAAGGGGTGTGGCCTATTAACTACGGAATGTTTTTGCCGGAACCGTTTTCTGGTTCAATTTGTATTTTTTTAGACAAATCTTGGATAATTTTTGACCCTTTTTGATCGATTTTGAACCAATCAATCTTCCGATTTTACCTTAAACCGATTTTCGTATTTTCAGGATTTTCCGAAAAAAAAGGGGGCGTGGCCTAATAGTTGCTGAATTTTAATTTTTCGAGATTTTCAAGATTCTCAGAGATGACGTGTCCCAAACTATTACCTGGTGCGTCTGACGTCGATGGAGGAGGAGGGGCTTGATGGACATAGCTTGACGACGTCGATGGCGAGAAGACGTGTGGTGGAGGGACTCCTGAAAATAATGGGGATTTTTATAAAATCTGATTTAAAGTCAATTTTCAGTCTATTCTCCATCAAATTGAGCAGCTTTTTTTTGAGCAGCCAGTCATTTTCAGCCAATTTTCAGCTGATTTTCAGCCAAATTTTGAGCACTTACCAACTTCTGACGTCGTCGATCCTCGTCGTCGATGATGTGCGGTGGACGGCGACGACGTCGATGGACCATTCCAAGCGGGACGATCTTCTGAAATTCCCCGAATTTCCAGCAAAATTTTGATAAGCTAAAAAATTTACCATCATCTCCAGAAGGCGTCGCTCTTCTTGACGCCGACGGTAGGCTTATCCCTGGAGGGAAACTGGGCGGGGCTTGTACTGAGGTGCCTGGGACAGGCGGTTCTGGCGAGTGGTGTCGTGGCTGAAAATTTTGATTTTCAGAGAATTTCAGCTATACGTTCAGCCATTTTTGGCTATTTTTAGCCAGTTTTTAGATGGATTTTCAGCCAAATTTCAGCTATTTTCAATTTTAGACAGACATAAAAAACTAACCCTCTTCTCCTGTGGTTCTCCTCCGATCCATCCGATTCCTGGTGGTGTTGGAATCTCCGCGTGCAGGACAGATGGCTCAGGTGTCCGGATCCGGGACTGAAAAATTAGCATTTCTAGCGATTTTAGACAGGTTTAGACTGCTTTCAGATTCTTTTAGATCATTTTAGGCTATTTTTGGACCATTTTAGACCAATTTTAGACATTTCTACACTAACTTTGAATCATTCTAGACTAAATTCGAGTCATTTCAGATCGATTATGAACCATTTTAAGCCATTTTAGACCGATTTTAGACTTAATTAGGCCAATCTAGGACGATTCTAGACTAATGTTGGGCAATTTTCGGGTCACTTTAGACTAACTTTTGGTCATTTCGGACCTATTTAAGACCATTTTAGGGTCATTCTCGACCATTTTAAGCCATTTTAGACTAATTTTAGACTCAATTAGACCAATTTTTTAGATTATTTTTATTTAGGAGCACTTTAAATCAGTTTTAGACAATTTTAAACTATTCTAGCCCAATTTTGGACGATTCTACACTAATTTTTTTGATAATTTCAGACCGATTTCAGACCATTCTAGACAAATTTAGACCTACTACGGCCCGATTACAGACAATTCCAGCCAATTTCAGCAATTTTGAATTCAAAAACCCCTCACTCTTTTCTCTTGTTGCGTCGATCCATTCGCTCTGCTCGTCTCCACGCCTCCATTTCCATTTTCAGCGACTCGCAGCCTGTTATAGGCCGCCTGACGCCGACCTTCTCTGGTTGCTTCTAGTCTGGTCGACGACGTCGGCTTCCTCACACTCGATGGCATCGATGGAACATCGTCGAGTAACGCTGCCATTCTCGATTGTCCACAAGCCACTTTCACCGTTGATTTCGCTTGAAATCGGGGTTCCTGGCGTCGGTGATGAGCAGCTGAAAATGGGAAATAGTGAGCCTAGAAATGGTTGAAAATGATTATAGCTAGGCTAGCTAGCTAGCTAAGTCTTTTTAGTCGTTGGGTCGTTTTGGACTAAGTTCGGATCATTTTGGACTACGTTTGGACTGTTTTAAACGAATTTTGGACAGTTTTAGACCGATTTTGGACGATTCTAGACTAAATTGGGTCGTTTTAAGACCATTTTAGACCAATTTCGGGCCATTTTAGACCGATTTTTGAATATTTTCGGACGATTCTAGACTGATTTGGGACCCTTTTCTACCAATTTTTGACCATTTTAAACTAAGTTTGGGTCATTTTAGACGCATTTTGGGCAATTCTAGACTAACTTTAAACGATTCTATACTAAATTTGGGTAATTTTGGACCATTTTAGACTATATTTAGACGATTCTAGACTAAACTGGGCCAATTTTGACCAATTTAGGACCATTTTAGACTGATTTAGGACTATTCTTGACTAATTTGGGTCACTTTTGGATCGATTTTCGAGCATTTTAGACCAATTTTGGACTATTTTCGAACGATTTAGGACTTTTTTCGATCAGTTTTGGACCATTTTGGGACTAAAAATGCTAGAACAGTTCTCAAACCGAATCCTCACCTGAATCCGCCTTGTCACTGCTCAGCGTACTGGCCAGTTCTCTCAGCCTCATCCCTCCCTCATCACCACTGTCCCTGGATCGAGACCGTGTGTACGAAACGCCTCGTTTTGGTCCAGCTCTGAACTCGCCAGGCGTTTTTATGGCATTAGTCGTCGTTCTGAATCAATATATATTTTTTATTTTTCTTAAACTAGGACAGGCGGAGGGTACAAAGCAATGTAGGGGTAGAAAATTCGCATTTTTCAGGTATTTTGTACCCCCGAATCGTGGATTTTGCACCACCTGAATCACTGTGTACCCCCTTATACCCCCAAATTGTTGGACCCTCCAAATAATGTGCCCTGCACTCACCCAGTACGTCCTACTCGTTCCGCCACGATCACTTGTTCCGATGCTTCGACGGATGGCGCTCTCGACGATCGTTCTCTGGATGTGTCTCGATCTTCGGAAGGTTCCCGAGAGATGGTTCTTGGACGTCCTGGACCTCTACGAGGAGGCTGAGCATCGACTGACGGTTCCCTGGATGGGACGCGCGGTCGGCCGTTGGTCGGTCCTGATGGTCCCTCGGGTTCCCTAGATTGATCCCTGGAAGAGCCGCCGCGTGGCCGACCAACCGGTTTTTCGGGTCGTCCTGGCTCTGGAGTTTGACCCCTTGGTCCCTCATCCGGTCTATTAACGGACTGATCCCTCCTTGGTCGACCACGTCCTCTTTTCACCACCGGTTGGCCAGATCCATCTGTGGATTGTTCACGAGCAGTTAGAGGAGTAGCTGCCCCTAGAACATCATTATCAGCTTGGTTGAATGCGGCAGATCTTCGGGGAGTTGCTTCTGGATCCCTTGACTTTGCTCTTGGCGCAGGTGTACGAGCATCGTCTCCATCAGTGGATCTGGCTCGGAAATTGGATCGGCGAGGAGCTTGTCTGAAGACTGGTGAAGTGTCCATAGATCCACCTCTCGAGCGTCCTCTTGTCCGCGTCGCTGGTCCCTCGAAATCGGATCTTGTGATTTGGCGTCGTGGTTGGCAAGGAGCGGATTCTGGCTGAGCAGCTTGGGAAGATGGAGCAATTTGTGCTAGCCTAGCCAAAGTCCTTTCAGATAGATCGATTCGGGTGGGTGCTGGGCTGGATGAAGCAGCAGCTGGCGGGACTGGGACGGATCTTGATTGTTGAGCAGCTGGTGGTGGAATTGGAGCCGGTGGAGCAGCAGATTGTGAAGGCTGAGCAATCGTAGACGGCTTCGTCTCTCTTGGAGGATCGACACGAATTTGGGGAGGGATCGGTGGAGCAGCTGGTGGAGGTGGAGCAGATCTTCCAAACGGACCGATTGGGCCTGGCACCGATCTTGATGGCTGAGCAGCTGGTGGAGCAGCTGCAGCGATTGTTGATGGCTTCGTCTCGGTCCAATCTGATCGGGACGCTCTTGGAGGATCAACATGAACTTGAGGAGCCACCGATGGAGGCTGAGCAGCTTGTAGAAGTGGAGCCGATCTCCCTGGAGGATTGGCTGGAGCTGGAACTGGTCTTGGCGGCTCAGCAGCTGGTGGAGCAGCTGGAGCTATCGTTGAACGCTTCATCTCGGTCCAATCAGATCGGGAGGCTCTTGGAAGATCAACACGAACTTGAGGAGCAACCGGTGGAGGCTGAGCAATCGGTGGAGGTGGCTGATTAAAATTAAAATTCGATGGGATCGGTGGAGGTGGTCGGTTGAAAACCAATGGGATCGGTTCATCAATCAACGATGGATCGGCTTCAGGTTCTGGCGTCGGATCCACCATAATCGTATCGGGCTCTTCCGGGTACAATGTTTCCATGGGAGATGCCCATCTTGGATCCGATCTCTGACTCTGTGCAGCTAGTCTCGGATCCTGAAGGGGTTGACGTTGCTGATTCTGTGATGATGGTCCTGCTTGATCTCTCGGAATGTATCCAAACTGTATTGGCCGCGCATTCGGATCATATCCTTCTGGGTAGTTGTGCTCAATCGATGCCTCACGAGATCTCATTGCGATCGGTAAGCTTCGAACGCTTGTCTCCAGCACCTGTGGTTCTCTTGAAGACTTTCTAGGTCTCGTACATCGATTGCCATTTGTGGATTTTTCTCGATGTCCTGATCCTGAAGCAGCAGCCATTTGAGCAGCAGCCAAAGTTTGCTCCACAACGTCATCATATCCAGGGGTACTCGGAAGGGCCGGCTCCTGATTGCTCACGCTCTTCACTTGATTCTGCAATTTCTGATACTCATAGTACTTCTCTCTTTTCGATGGTTCGAACGAGGTGTTGACGACTCGACGATGGGTGATGGCCTCGTCGCGGCTGAACAGCCTACTGTTCATGTCGTCCCACTTGGAAGCTGGGCACTGCGTCGAGAAGTGCAAGTAGACTTCGAGCTCGTCGAAAAACTTCATATGACAAATCTTGCACTCGTGACGATGGATTTTTCTGGAAAACATGGGGATTTTTGGGGGTCGAAATATAGGAATTTCGAGAATCAAAATACAGCATTTCTAGGTTAAAAATGCTGATTTTCTGAGCTGAAATGAGCATTTCTAGGGTCTAGAACAGGCATTTTTGGGTCCAAACTGAAGTGTTTTTTGAGTTTTTGACACTAAAATCGCCAATTTCTAGCTTCGAAATTAGGAATTTTCCAGTCAAAAATCGTCGATTTTCAGTCCAAAATAGAGCATTTTCCAGTTGAAAAATGATATTTCAAATGTCAAGAAAGTGATTTTTTGGAGTCAAAAATGAGCATTTTCAGATCCTAAAATAGTGATTCTTAGGATCAAAATTAGGCATATTCAGAGTCTAAATTGAGCGTTTCGTGCCCCAAAAATCCGTGTTTCTGGGTCTAAATTTGTCATTTTCGAGGCTGGAATCGCTTTTTAAAGCAAAAATCGTCGATTTTCAGAGCCAAGATAGAGCATTTTCGGGGGCCAAAATTGATATTTCAGACGTCAAAAAATTGATTTTCTGTTCAAAAATGAGCATTTTCAGAGCCTAAAATAGTGAATTCTAGGTCCAAAATTGATGATCTCAGACGCCAAAATGAGTGATTTTTGGGCCCAAAATAAGCATTTTCAGAGCCTAAAATAGTGATTTTCAAGATCAAAAATACTGATTTTTAGATCCAAAATGAGAATTTTTGGGGTCGAAAGAAGGTTTTTTCCGAGATGAAAATAGGCATTTTGAAGGTCAAAATATACCATTTTTAGGTAGGAAAATGGTCCTTTTTGGTACCAAAATTTGCATTTCTAACGTCTAGAATATTGATTTTTCGCATTTTCGGAGCCTAAATTATGCATTTTGAGAATCAAAATTTCAAGTGTCTGGGTCCAAAATTGCTATTTTAGGCATCAAAAAGGTGATTTTTGAAGTCAAAAATGAGCATTTTCAGATCCTAAAATAGTGATTCTTAGGATCAAAATTAGGCATATTCAGAGTCTAAATTGAGCATTTCGTGCCCCAAAAATCCGTGTTTCTGAGTCTAAATTTGTCATTTTCGAGGCTGGAATCGCTTTTTGTTTCTAGCTTCAAAATTGGACTTTTTAGGCTGAAATTGCCGATTTTTAAAGCAAAAATTGTTAATTTTCAGAGCCAAAATCGAGCATTTTTGGGACCAAAATTGATTTTCTTTCAAATTGTGATCTTTGAAGCCCAAAATCAGTATTTTCAGAGCCTAAAATAGTGGTTTTTCGGGCCCAAAAATCCATATTTCTGGGTCTGAATTCGTCATTTTTGAGCCTGGAATCGGCAATTTGCAGGACTAAAGAGAACATTCCTAGAGCTTGAAACAGAAATTTCAAGAGCAAAATTTGCAATTTTCAGGCCCCAAGTCGTTCATTTTTAATTCGAAATAGAATATTTTCTAGGTTGAAAAATGACATTTCAGACGTCAAAATTGTGATTTTTGGACCCGAAATGAGCATTTTCAGGGTCTAGAATAGGCATTTTTCGGGGTTCAAAACGATTTTTTTTCGAGTTTTTGAGGGGCGAAAATTGTCAATTTCTAGCTTCGAAATTAGAGATTTTCCTGTCAAAAAACGTCGATTTTCAGTCCGAAATAGAGCATTTTTAGGACCAATATTGATTTTTTTTTTCAAATTGTGATTTTCAGAGCCAAAAATGAGCATTTTCAGAGCGTGAAATAGTGAATTCTAGGTCCAAAATTAATGATCTCAGACGTCAAAAAATTGAATTTTGGTCAAAAATCAGCACTTTCAGAGCCTAAAATAGTGGTTTTTAGGATCAAAACGAGTCATTTTTAGGGTAGAAACTCACAAATGACCCTTGGCTATGTGACTCGGCGCATCTGCTGGCATTCCAACGAATTTACACTCGTCATGCGAGGCCTTCATCCAAACGCATTCTTGGAATGTGCACCTGTTCTTGTATTTTGCATCGATTCTGGAAAATTTCAGATGAGATTTGGTGATTTTTTTTGACTCAAAAATGGGTATTTTTGGTCTAAAATAGACCTATTTTTGAAGTAAAATAGTCAAATTTTGAACCAAATTTCAATTTTTTTTAAATCTCACCTTAGCTCCTTCAATCTTCGGTTTTCTGTATCGGTGTAAATTGGCTTTGGGTGGGGTTGTTCCATTGTATCTAGAGGAGAGATGAAGAGATCATGAAACCTGAAAAAAAACCGATGAAAATGTAGGAAAATTCTAGAAAAATCGGAAAAGGTGTGATCCGAAAACTGCAAGAAATCGATTAAAAAATCATGCATGTTTTTTTTGCAATTTTTTCCGCAGGTTTTTGATCTTTTAGAGATCAAAAATGAGTCTAAAAATAACGACATTTATTTTCTAAAAATAAAAAAATCTTAGGAATCTAGGTCATGACCCAGTTTTTTCTAGGCCACGACCCAGTTTTTTCTAGGTCACGCCAAACAAAAAAAAAGGATAAATAGAGACGCAGAGAAACGAGATTGTCTAGCTGCCTGCGCCTCTCAAAGGGGTGCGCTCACTTTAAAGGCGCATAACTCGAAAACTACGGTAGCCAGTAAAAAGTTGTCAACTGCAAAAAATGTGTAAAATTTTATTTCGCATTTTTTTGTAGTTTATAGTTTGCAGATAGCTACTGTAGTTTTGGAGAAATGCGCCTTTAAAGTCACCAAGGTCTTTGCCCTGAAAATCGATCATTTTGAGGGCTTCGAGAAAAACGGATTCTAGAAACTTCTCGTTAGAAAACTGAAAATCGCCGAATTTGTTACAACAATTTATAGAGGGAAAACTTCCAGAATTTTAAAAAGAAACCGATTAGGATTACTGTGGGATACTGTAGACTCTACTGGAGAACGCGAACTCTAGCCATCCATGAGTTCCTAGTTCGAAACCGACTTCCTAGTTCGAAATTTTACTTCCGACTTCCGGAAAATCAGGAAATCTTCCGGCTTCAGACTCTCATTCCGCCATAGAATTTTTGCAACAAATGTTGCGAAATTTGTTCATTTTTGACCAGAAAAATCAAAAAATATTCAAAATTAGCGCCAATACCATAAATTATGCTCTGAAAATCTGGAAGTTTACTTCCGACTTCCGACTTCCTAGTTCAAAAATTTCATTTCCTGATATCTCCCTTTCTACACGACTAGAAAATTCGAAGATAGAAGATTCAGGAAGAGAGTTTTGAGATTTTCGCTAGAAATTCATGAGAGATGTGTCTACCCTGCGTTCCATCGGGCATCTGGACTCTTCTCTCAAGAACATCACTTTCATCTCTTCCAGTGCATCCCAGCGAAACAAAAAAAAGCGTCAGGAATGTGTCAGTTGCCACTATATAGAACACCCAATGCAATAATGATGCCCATCTGTCAAGATGAAATCGAAAGGAACGTTTTGAAGAAAGCCTCTAAAGAGACCGGCAGTGACACATTGATAATCGATCGATCGATTCGATACGATTGCCACGACCGCGGCCCTTTTTGTCACCTATCATATGCCTGCGTATCTCAGTTGGTGTTGAGTCGCTGTGCAGTCAATTTGATGACAAATAGCGAGGGTGTGAATCATAGGATTACTGTATGATATAGTATCCTGGAGATACTGTAACCTCCTAAACTCTCCCAAATGAGCTCAGCGATATCTAGCCAATAATCTGGATAGAAAGTCTGGCCTGCAAGTCAAGAAGGAGAGTGGTATTCAAGAAGAAGCCACTGTTTAGAGACTACTGTAGGATATAGTATCCTAGGGATACTGTAGACTCCTAAACTCCCCCAAATGCTTGGAGAGAAATCCTCAGGAAAATTGGGAAATCCCATGTTTTCTAAAGTCGCAGAAACAATAGAAAATCCCAAGAAAATCTACCGAAATAGACGAGGACCTGCGTTCCTGGGGGATTATTGTAGGATACGGTAGATCCCCTTTCACTGGAATAGGGAAAAAGAAGATTTCGGAAGAAGCTAGAAAACTAGAAATCAGTGAGATGGACACTTCTAGAGAGGAAACCGAGTAGTTGACACTAATTTCCGGGAAAAAAAAGAGAAAAAAGAATCCTAGACAATTCGTAACTCAAAGGATCATCCATCTAGTACCTCCTGAAGGCAGAAACTAGTAGAAAATCTCAAAAAACGAACAACCGCGGCCCCGGAAACCAATACATAATTTGCCACGTCCGCGGCGCATCATATGCCTGCGTATCCCAGTGGAGTCGCTACGCAGCGAACTCGTTCCAATAGTGAGGGGGTGAGTGATAGAACGGAGGAGGGAGCAGAGAAGGTCGTCGCCATGTGGGCACTTGGCACCAAGCCAAGTTTTTTGAACAGGCCGTTTTTTGAGTATTCAAGGCGAACGAAAGTTCGTAAACCAATCCCCTGTTCTACAGTATCCTACAGTAACCCTGTCGTACCCTACAGTAACCTTCGATATACCTAAAAACAGCTATTCTCAGCTTGGAAAAGCCTATTGAGGTACAGTACTCTCTCGAAGAAGAGTACAGTAATCCGAAAGGAGATACTGTAGCTGAAAGAAAATTGAGGAAATATGTAGAACTACGGTAGACTCCCTCAGACATCTAGCCAATCAGAAATCCCGAAAAAAGAGGAGGACTTGCGTTCTTGTGGATTACTGTAGGACTACTGTAGACTCTCCTCTTGATGAGCAATCTCAGTTTATGACCTAGTTTGAATCGGTTTTCGCAATTTTTGAACGAAAGAAAAGATGATTACTGTAGTTAAAAATGAGCAGCTAGGAAGCCTAGAACACAAACTGCAGTCCAAAGGATCATCTACCGTAATTGCCCTAATTGAAGCCTACGTGCACTTTGAGACTCAGATTTTGAGCTCAATTATCTCAGCTCCTATTAGAGATATCAAAAATCTGTCAACTGATAAAGAATTTATCATGATATCAGCAATATTTTATCAGTTGACAGACTTTTGATACCTTTAAAAAGAACCGAGATAATTGAGCTCAAAGTGAACTACCAGGTGAGATTCCATTAGAGCAAATACGGTATGTATTAGCCGGTACCTATACTGTAAGTATACGGTATGCATACGGTATTAAATACAGTATGTACCAAGTTTAAAACCAGTCCAAAATCCCCAGAAATCCCAAAAAAAAAAACGAAGAAAATAGGGCAATTACTCTTTGACTCCACATTCTCTTTGACTACAAAATCTCTTTGACTACATTTATCTCTTCGACTACACTTGTCTCTTTGAATACAAAGTCTCTTTGACTACACTTTTTGTTTTATAGTACTTTTTGACTGAATTTATTGGAGTTTCCGATTTTTGTCTCAAATTGTAGGCTTAGGCTAAAACACCAGTTTTCCGGTAACCGTTTCAGCCTAAGCCTTTGATTTGTACAGAAAATAATAAAAATTTGGAAATCTCAGCGAAAAAAAAAGTGAGAATTTTGCTGATTTTCGCGAATTTCAGTACTTTTTTCACTTTTATGTATTTTTGGAATTGTCAGTTTTTTGTTTAAAATTATAGGCTTAGGCTCAAATTCTTCTTATATTCTGTGAGAACGCCCACAAAAACTGCAGAAAATTTTAAAATTTAAAAAAGTGTAGTCAAAGAGACTTTGTAGTCAAAGAGACAAGTGTAGTCAAAGAGATAAATGTAGTCAAAGAGACTTTGTAGTCAAAGAGTGGTGTAGTCAAAGAGTAATTGCCAGAAAATAGGCCCAAAAAGCCTTCAGTGGCCTAAAAAAGAAATGTGCGCGCGGTGGTGTGCATGATGACCCATCATCATATGCCCTCCCCCTGCGTATCCCAGTTGAGTCGCTGCGCAGCGAATTCGTTCAAATAGTGAGGGTGTGAGTGATAGAACGGAGGAGGGAGCAGAGAAGGTCGTCGCCATGTGGGCACTTGGCACCAAGCCAAGTTTTTTGAACAGGCCGTTTGGAACATAAATTCGTTTTAAAAAGTCAATTTCTCTATCTACAGTATCCTACAGTAACCCTACTGTAGCTGTTTTCTACAGTATCCTACAGTAATCTTCACAAACACCTTCTCGACAAATTTCAGACAGAAAAATCCGAAAAATCGAATAAAAAATCTCTTTTTTTCTATCTGCAGTAACCTTACAGTATCTCCTTTCTACAGTAACCCTACAGTAACCTTAAATACACCAGAAACAGCAATTTTCAGCTTGGAATCGCTCAATTCTTGGTAATAAAATATTCTACAGTAACCTATGTCTTTTCCTGCCTACAGTAATCGCCTATGGGGGATACTGTAGCTAGATGTATCAATTATTTCATCTACAGTATTCTACAGTAACCCTGTGGTACCCTACAGTAACTTTTTTGAGTTTGGAATAATAGCCTACAGACTGTAGTAGGTTACAGTAGCATAGTGATGGAGAGTACTGTATACGTCTCTACAGTAACCCCCGAAGAGAGTAATCTCTATGGGACACTGTAGCTGGAATTCCACACTGTTTTTTCATAATTTTTATTTGAAATTTTAACTAGCAAGTTTGGAATTCCTACAGTAACCTTCGGGTAAATTAGCGCTACAGTAGCCCATTGAGGTACAGTAATCTATACCTTTCGTGTCTCTACAGTAATCCTTGAAGGATTTGAAATTTCAAATCGAAAAATTGGGTAAAAAACTCAAAAATCCAATTTTCAGCCAAATTTTTAATTTTCAGCTTGAAAAAGTCTACAGTAATCCGAAAGGGGATACTGTAGCTAGGATGTCAAACTCGAAAAGTTTTTTAAAAATTTCGATTTTCAGCCAGTTTTTGGCTGAAAATCTATGGAAATTCTTCTGGAAAAAACGGGGAAAAGTACATATAATGGAGAAGAACATTCGTCTTGAAAATCGAATAAAAATGTTTTTTTTGTTTTGAAAATATTGAATTGAAAATATTTTTTATGAGAAAATTGAAGCAAAAAAGCTGAAAATCGGAGGATTCGAGATCTGAAAACTACAAGAAAATTGGGGAAATTATGACAGTTTGAACGGGAAAAATCAATAAAAAAAAGGGAAAGTTTGGGGATAATTACATTTAAAAAAAGACATGCAAAATAAGCACTTTTTAGGCTCAAAAGTCGGAAAAAAATCAATTTTTAAAACCAAAACATTTCATAAAAATCCAAAAAAAAAATCATTTAGTCTGTGTGGTCGTGAATGCTCTCGCCACCACCGAATCCGTCAGTGCCACTCCGTTTTTCTTGATCTGCGTGGGCGTAGCCACACGGACCCATTTCAGACATTCCACGTGGATTGGCGGCTGGGAGGGAATTTGAAAATTCTGAAAAAATGGCGAAATTGGGGGTCAAAATTACAATTTTTGAGATGGAAATATAGTGATTTTTGGGTCAAAATTATTGATTTTTCAGATGAAATTTTGATAATTTTGCTTTGAAATCTAGCTATTTTTCGGCTGAAAATCGTCATTTTTAAGACCAAATTATTGATTTTTCGGGTTAAAAATCGCATTTTTAAGCTGTAAATAGCCATTTTCAGAGTCAAAATTATTGATTTTTATGACGAATTTTTGATGAATTTGCTTTGAAATGTAGCTATTTTCGGGCTGAAAACTAGCAATTTTAAAGTCCAAAATCGCAAATTTAAGAGCTCAAATTCAGATTTTTCGGTTCAAAATTCGATTAATTTTAGATCAAGTTAGTCACTTTTCAGAGGAAATTTTGACCAATTTCAGGCGAAAATTGCCATTTCCTGGGGGTAAAAACTGACCATTTTTAAGAGAGAAATCGTCTATTTCAGGGTCAAAATTATGATTTTTCCGCTCGAATTTTAGTGAATTTTGAAGCTAAAAATAGCAAGTTTTAAGGGCTAAAATTGCCATTTTTGCTCAAAATTTGGTTAATTTTGGGCTCAAAATAGCCATTTTCAGGGCCCAAATTTGACGATTTTCTCCTATTTCCTACCTTCAATTCCCGAATATCGGGCTTCGCTATCGTTACCGTATCCCCGATGACGAATCCGAAATTCGAGAGACAATTGTAGACGGTGATACCGTACACCTCACCATTGACATCCACACCGACCAGGGCTCTAGAAGACGTTTTTTGAGATTTTTAGGCTCATATTCAGGCTCTTTCTATCTTTTAGGCTCATTTTTAGGCTCTTTCTGTCTTTTAGGCTTATTTTTAGGCCCATTTTTAGGCTCTTTTTAGGCACATTTTCAAGCTTTTTCTATCTTTTAGGCTCATTTTTAGGCTCTTTCTTTTTTTAAGGCTCTTTTAGACTCATTCCCAGGCCCATTTTTAGGCTCTTTCTATCTTTTAGGCTCATTTTTAGGCTTTTTTCAGGCTCATTTTCAGGCTCTTTCTATCTTTTAGGCTCTTTTTAGACTCATTTCTAGGCTCATTTTTAGGCTCTTTTTAGGCTCATTTTTAGGCCCATTTCTAGGCTCTTTCTATCTTTTAGGCTTTTTCAGGCTCATTTTTATGCTCTTTCTATCTTTTAGGCTCATTTTTAGGCCCATTTTTAGGCTCTTCCTATCTTTCAGGCTCTTTTCAGGCGCATTTTTAGGCTCTTTCTGTCTTTTAGGCCCATTTTCAGGCTCTTTCTATCTTTTAGGCTCTTTTTAGACTCATTTCTAGGCTCATTTTTAGGCTCTTTTTAGGCTCATTTTTAGGCCCATTTCTAGGCTCTTTCTATCTTTTAGGCTTTTTCAGGCTCATTTTTATGCTCTTTCTATTTTTTAGGCTCATTTTTAGGCCCATTTTTAGGCTCTTCCTATCTTTTAGGCTCTTTTCAGGCGCATTTTTAGGCTCTTTCTGTCTTTTAGGCCTATTTTTAGGCGCATTTTTAGGCTCTTTCTGTCTTTTAGGCCTATTTTTAGGCTCTTTTTAGGCTCTTTCTATCTTTTAGGCTCATTTTTAGGCTCATTTTAGGCTCATTTATAGGCCCATTTATAGGCTCTTTCTATCTTTTAGGCTCATTTTTAGGCTCATTCTATCTTTTAGGCTCTTTTTAGACTTATTTCTAGGCCCATTTTTAGGCTCTTTCTATTTTTTAGGCGTTTTTGGCCCATTTTCAGGCTCTTTCGTTTTCAAAAATCCTCGTTTTTTCCCTCAATTCTCACACTGGAATCGCCTCCTCATGTCCAACGTTTCCAATGATTTTCACTCGAAATCCATCATTTCCACTCGCGGTTTTCTTCAAATCCCCGACCATTTCAGCCAACCGTTTTGCCTTGATTCGCCCTTTTTTCTGTACACTTTCGGCGAAATTTCTCAAATATTTGACGAAAGAATCGCGTTTTTCGCGCGTTTCCAGCTCGTTTCTCGCATCGAATTCGACGGATTTTTGAAGCGATTCCAGCGTTTCGTCGTACTTTTCCATGAATTTTAGGCAGGTGGACATGTTGATGTAGACCTGGAAATTTGGGAAATTTTGAGCTAAAAATATCAAAAATCGGTTTTAAAAATATCATTTTTCAGGCTAAAAATGCAAAAAATTGCATTTTGGGTCCAAAAATCGTTATATTAGCGTCTGAAAATGCTGATTTTAACCCCAAAAATCATTATTTCGGACCTAGAAACTTGACATTTTGATGTTCAAAATGCATAATTTAGTCTCTGAAAATGCAAGATTTGACCCCTAAAATATCATTTTTCAACTGGGAAATGCTCTATTTTGGACTGAAAATCGACGATTTTTGTCTTGAAAATTCCTAACTTAGAACCTTGAAATTGACGATTTTTGCCTCAAAAACTCGAAAAAATAGTCGTTTTGAACCCAAAAAATCATAGAAATTCTATGTTTTGATTCCGAAAATTCCAGAAAATTCCAAGAAAAATTTACCTTTTTTGCGATTTTTCGACAAAATTTTCAGACCTTTTTTAGGTTTTTCAGCTATTTCTAAAGATTCTTTATCGATTTTTCCGAATTTTTCGGTTTGAAATTTGATGGAACGGTGTTCTGGGTTACTGCAGATTACTGTAGAAATCTCATTATCTTGGATACTGTAGTTTCATCGCAAACCGAAAATCGCGTGTGATTTTGTTCGGGAAAACTACAGTAACTTATAGTAATCTTCAGGAACACCATCCCGATAAATTTCAGTTACTGTAGTTTTTCGCAACAAAATAACACGTGATTCTCAGTTTGCAAAGAAACTACAGTATCCAAGGAAACGAGATTTCTACAGTAACCTACAGTAACCCAGAACACCGTTCCATCAAATTTCAGACAGAAAAATCTGGAAAAATCGATAAAGAATCTGTAAAAATAGCTGAAAAACCTAAAAAAGGTCTGAAAATTTTGTCGAAAAATCGCAAAAACTAGGTCAATTTTTTCGAAATTTTCCAGAATTTAAAGGCTCAAAATGTAGAATTTCTAGGTCAAAAAATGGAGTTTTAGACGTTAAAATAGTGATATTTGGGTCCAAAATGAGCATTTTTCGGGGTTCAAAACGACTATTTCTCGAGTTTTTGAGGCTAAAATTGTCAATTTCTAGCTTCAAAATTAGCAATTTTCAAGGCAAAAATCGTCGATTTTCAATCCAAAATAGAGCATTTTCCAATTGAAAACGATATTTCAGAGGGCGAATTAGCATTTTCAAAGCCCAAATTACGAATTTTGAACATCAAAATGTCAAGTTTTTAGGTCCAAAATAGTGATTTTTGGGGGTTCAAATCCGCATTTTCAGAGGCTAATATAACGATTTTTGGACCCAAATTGCAATTTTTTGCATGTTTGATCCTGCAGTTTTTAATTTTTAACCCATTTCTGATTTTTCTAAGCTCCGCCCCTTTTTCCAACGCCTACCTGTACATCTGTCCTCGACAATTCGCACTCTCTCAACGCTTTTCGATAATTCTCCACAACTTTCTCCAAATACTGTAGCTCAGTTTTCGCCGTACTAAAAAAGCAATAAAAAAGCCCCGTGGCAAATGCGGCGTTCGCCGGACCATGAGTCGGATCCAGTCGGCGTGCTTCAATAATCAATTCCATGGCTTTTGTGCTGAAAATTGGTGAAAAATGAGCCAAAATTCATGAAAAATGGTCCAAAATTCATGAAAAATGATCCAAAATTTATGAAAAATGTTCCAAAATTCATGAAAATTGGCAGAAACTCACCGCATTTCAGTCTGCGCTGGTTCCGGATGATTCAGAGCAACTAATCTCAAGGCTATAGCCAGCGAAGTGAGCACTGGAGCCGTTCGAACGATGCCGAGGGAGATCTGAACGTTTTAGAAACAATTTTCGGTCTAAAAACGGCTAAAAATTAGACTTTTCTGACTTAAAATTTGGTTCTGAACTCGATTATAAATATTGAAAATTTTCGAAATATATTTTTAGCTCAAAAATGGCTGAAAATTGGACTTTTCCGACCCGATTTTTGTTGAAAACTTGATTTTTTAGTTTATTCAACCGATTTTTGAGGTCTAGACGCTTACATTGAAGCAAGATTGAGCGAATTCCAGGTCCTGTCGCTTCATGACACACAAACCCAACTCGTGCCAGGTATCTGCATTTTTTGGGTCTAAAAATTCAAAATTTTCAAATTTCCCGCTTTTTTAAAAGGTTTTACTTAGTCTGACAGCTTTTGTGAGGAATTTCTCGGCGCTTTCATTATAATCCCATATGACATTATACAACTTTCCGGCTTCAGAGAGCAAAAGCGCTTTTTGATTGGTGGTGTAGACGTGATTCTTGCTAAATATTGTTGGAAGAGTGTTCTGAAAAAAAAATTGGGGTTTTTTGAGCTAAATTAAGGCGAAAACTATCAATCAAAAAATACCTGAATATACTCCTCGGCCTTTGCGATCACTGCCTGCGTCTCTTCGGCTTTTGTAGACGTTGGATTGCTTTTAAAATAGAATCTCATGTACAATTCTAGCTCTTTTTTACAATTTTCCATTGTGGAAAATGGGGAATTTCGGATGGAAAAAATAGATTTTTAAGTTTTGAAATTTCAAAAAACGAATTTTTGAACTAGATACGGTAGACAGTGTGCAAACACCGCGCGTGCACAATGTATTATACTTTACGCGCAACGAGTTTTTGTACCAATTTCAGATTTTTTTAAACTAAAAAATGCTTGAATTCCTGCCTTTTTTCTCAATTTTTCAAATGAAATTTGCATTTTTAGCAGCGGAAATCTCAATTCTTATAGATTTTGTCTGAAAAATCAATGTTTCTTCAGTAGAAAACATGATTTTTGGGAAAAACTAAATTCTTGGAAAAATATTTTTTAAACCCATTTTTTGAGTGGTTTTTTTGGTATTATTATGCTGAACATTTGATTTCTGATGAATTTCGAATCTCTATGTCTCAAAATTTTTTCAGTTTTGATTTTCCTTTAATTTTTGTCCAAAACTTGAATTTTCCAATGACAAATATCTTTTTTCCAGCAGAATCACACAAAAATGATCATCCCAATCAGATGCTTCACCTGCGGAAAGGTCATCGGCGACAAATGGGAGACATATCTCGGCTTCTTGCAGTCAGAGTACAGTGAAGGTTAGCTAAGGCTAAAATTGCACTTTCCATGTCAGGAAATCGCTGAAAATGTTGATTTTTTGATAAAAATGCTGTGAAAATGGCTGAAGTTTCATCAAAACCGATTTCAGGAGACGCCCTCGATGCTCTCGGTCTTCGTCGCTATTGCTGTCGAAGAATGCTCCTGGCCCACGTGGATCTCATCGAAAAACTTCTCAACTACCATCCATTGGAAAAATAAGCGCACCGCCCATCATCATTTTGTTAATTTTCGCTGTTATTTTGTGTGTCTGAATCTCAATTTTTGATCCCTTTTTTCCCGAATTTTCACCATTTTTAACCGGAATTTCCACATAAAAATCTGTCTTCCAGTGTAGTTTTTCAGCGATTCGAAGAGTTTCGACGCTCTATTTTTTCGATATATTGGCTCAATTTTTTTCTTATCGATTTTAGTTCCCTTTTTGTTTGATTTGTGTGTTTTTGTTCATCTTTATTTGCAGGTTTTCAGTTTTCAGGAGAGGAAGAAACTTGTCAAAAAACGAAAAAATTCGTATATTTTCCGAGTTTTAATAGAAAAATTGCAAGGAAGCGGTATAATTTCTTTAAAAACGCGATTTAAAAATCTTTTAAAAATCGGATTTTAAAATAGTGTAAAAACCGGAAATTCGTAAATTTTTCGATTTTTTTCAGATAAATGACGAAAAATAACTGAAAAAATCGTATTTTTCTGCTTTTCCGGGCGAGGATTTGATTTTTTTTCTGAAAATTTCAAATTTCAGTATGTTTTGAAGGAAGAATTTGACTGAGTTTTTCCGGACGAATTTCAAATTATCCGATTTTTTGGAAATTTCAAAATTTCGGATTTTGGATTTTTTTCAAAATTTCGGATTTTGGAAATTTCGAATTTCTCGTATTTTTCTGTCTAGAAAAATGACGAAAAACAGTGGCTTAAAAATTTTTGAAAATTGAAAAACTTTAAATTTTTGCTATAAAAAAATTTTAAAAAATAAGCAAAAAATGACTGAAAAAAGTTATTTAAAATCGTATCTTTCAGCTTTTCCAGGCGGGAATTTGATTTTTTTTTTGGAAATTTCTAAATTTTTGGCTGTTTTGAAGCAAGAATTTGACTGAATTTCTCCGGAAAAATTCAAAACTTTTTTTTTCTATTTTAGAGAGGATTTTGACAGATTTTTCCAGTAAAATTAGCTGAAAATTACAGTTTTTTGCTTGTTTTTCACTTATCACCTGTTTCTCTGGGTCTCCACCCTCTCATTCTCTCTCTCTCTCTCTCTCTCACTTCCTCCAAATCCAATCAAATATCCCACAAGTTCCACGTGTCTCTTCTCCAGCCTGTTCGGCTGTATTGTCTTGTCTGCCGTCTCTCAATTCCTCACACTCTCTCGCTCTCTCTCTCATTTGCGATTTCCTTTGAGAAACCGGCCTCTTATCTCGGTCATTTTCCCATTTCCATAAGAATCCGTTGTTGTATACAAAAATCAATAAAACTTCCAGAAAACTTCGTGTAGACACACACAGGGCTCCGCCTGAGGTTGTTGGCCGTCTCGCCTCCCCCAGAAGATCGACACCGAGAGAGAAAAGAGCAAAAATGACTCGTAAGTGGTGAACAATCTTGATTTTAAAGCTTAAAATTGGGTAGAAACCCCGATTTTTGACCTGGAAAGTGTTAATTTTGAACCGAAATGTGGAGTTTTGAGCATCAAAAGTTCCATTTTTGAGTCAAAAATCCGATTTTTAGGCTTACAATTGAGTAATGATACTAATTTTTGAGCTAAAAACTGGATTTTAGAGCATTTTCAAGCCCTAAACGTCGTTTTTTTAGGTGGAAATCAAAGAGATTTGGCTCGTGAGAAGAACCAGAAGAAGATGGCGGAGCAGAAAAAGCGGCAAGGAGCCGCTGGACAGGAAGGAAATGCCGTTAGTAGGGAAAAAACACCAAAAATCATACTTGTAAATTTCCGGGCCGGGCCGGGCCTGAGGAAATTTTCAAGGCCCGGCCCGGAATTCCCGGTGTCAAAATTCTGTATTTTTGAGCCAAAATTGAGCTCTCAATATAATTTTCCATTTTTTTTTCGTATTTCGGATTGTTTGTCTGTCTGATCAAAAAAGATCGAAAAACTCGAAAAAAAATTTTTTGGTCGAAAAAATCACATAAGGGTCCCCCTTATGTGTTTTTTGAAAATTTTGAAACTAGTGAAATGACGGGCCCGCCGGGCCGGGCCGGGCCTCCGAAATTCCGAAAAAAGCCCGGCCCGGCCCGTTACAAGTATGCCAAAAATAGCGTTTTTTTTCCAGACGAAAAATCACATTTTAGACCAGTCTTTCGATTTTTCGAGCTATTTTCTGACCTAGATCCGCTAGATTTTACTCGAAAACTCTGAAAAAAAAATTGTGAATATTGATTTTATTTATCACCGAATTTTTCTGCTATTTCAGTGAAAAAAAAGGAAAAAAATCGCTGATTTCCGCGAGTTTCAGTGCGCTCTGAAAAAAGGCGCCAAATTCGAAATAAATGTCATATTTTTGGCTTGAAAATCAAGTTTTTTTGGCTCTTTCAGGTGCAAAAATCGATTTTTTGACTCATTTTTTGACCTAGATCCGCCCGAGAAAACCTGAAAAATTAGCCAATTTTCAATGAAAAATAGTGCTTTTTTCTTCAACTGAAATACTTGAAAATTGGCGCCAAATTCAAGAAAAAACAGAATTCTTATGAAAAATTAATTCTGAAAATGTCAATTTTAGAAAAAGAGATTTTTGATGAATTTTTGATACTAAAAATGGCGGATTTTCAAAAATTTTTGAGTTTTTGAAATTTCTGAAATTTCGTCTCAAAATCTGTAAATCATCCAAAAAAGGCACCGAAAAAGTCAATAAAACTCGAAAAACCTGAAAAATTAGGCAAAAATTGTGCAAATTGATAGTGTTCAAATCCCGAGATTTCCGGAAATTTCAATTTGGAAAAATTGTCAATTTTCGCGAATTTCAGGGCTGAAAATTCTGAAATTTCATTGGCGACAAATTCAAAAAATTTCAATTTTTTTCAAAATTTTCAAATTTTCCAGGGTCTCTCAATGGACAACCGAATGAACCGTGACGCCGACATTATGCGTATCAAACAGGAGAAGGCCGCGGCGAAGAAGGCCGAAGAAGCCGCCGCCGCATCGGCAAACGCCAAAAAAGTCGCCAAAGTGGACCCATTGAAAATGTGAAAACCTCAATTTTTTCTGTCAAAAATCACCTTTTTTATTTGTCTAAATATTTATGATTTTATGATTGTCCGATACATTCTTTTATGGGTTTTCAAAAATATCAGAAATGGAAGGGCCACAATAGATAGTTCCTCTTCTCGGACTGTGGCTTCTTCATGACACGAATGATATTTCCAGAATGGTAGAGAATTCGATTTCCCGGAATTTTGAAGCTGGAAAAATTGACAAAATTACAAAAAAATCCTTTTTTCCTTCATTTTTCACTGAAAAAACTTACAAATCCACTCCTGATACTCTTAAAGGTGGTGTACGGTGAAATTTTTTATTGCATCAAAATGTGCAGAAATGCATGTAGATTGACATAAAAATAAAGAAAAAGTTCAAAAAAAAATTCCTTCATCGAGAAAAACGCGTCGAAAAATACGCTGAAAGCCCTTAGGGACGAGGTTTTTTCGCTTGTTTTTCTAGGCCGCCCGGTGAGTAAAAGCGCGCGAATTCAAACTTCTAAAATTTTTTCGCTCG